ACCATATAAAACATTAATTTTTGAAGACCATTATTTCCTAATTATTTATTAACAATTATGCATTATACATTTAGGATATTACATAAATACCATACCATAAATATACCTAAAGACATTCTCCATTGTATCACGCACCATGTAATTAATGTAACACCCATCACTGAATAAATAAGTTGGGGGAGCAAATGTAAAGTCCAGCTGAAGAATTTAGATAAATACAAAAACTGTAGGTTATACTGAAGTGTATATTTAAAATGAATGTACACATGAAAGTTCTGTGCAGACTTCACTAGGTGCTTTAATTATAAGCTTAACATTATTCTTTTAATAAAAGACAATAAAGCATTGTTAATTTATTATGTGGCTGCTTTTAGTAGACATTATGACAATCCCTTCCTTATAAAATGAAATGTGGTTATTTGCTGTTCAGATTAATTTCAAAAACTTTTTAATCATTTATTAAAATGCAAATTATACAAAATATTAGCCCAGGAAAGTGATGCAAGTTCTTCAGAAATTTAATAATGTGTAACTATACTACAAATGCAAAAACATCAACTTTGAAAGTAAATTACTTTATTCTGTGTATATTCATCAAGTGTGAATAGAAAACCAAACTGGTTGAATGATTACAATAATTTTATCTCTAGTATTTGAAAGAAGTCTTTAAATGTTGTATAAGTCATAGTAATTCACATAAAGTTATTTTAACATCAAAGTCCATTTGTGTTCTGTTTATATATTCAAAATAACAATAGATCACACTTGGACCATTTAAAATTTTAATTAAAAAAACTGAATTTTATTCATTTGAATACATGTTGAATCATCTCCACATAAAAATATTTTTTTAATCATATTCTTCTTTCTTCAATCGTCTGCTTCACTGTATGTAAATTGACTGAATAATATTTAGCCAGTAAATCAGTGAAATTAAATTCCAATCGTGAAATTTGAAAATACTACTTTTATATAGACAGGTAGATAAAAAGAACATTAAATGTGCTGGCTGGTTTTTCAAATTTACTGAGTGTAAACTTTTGATTTAATATTTTACTACTACATTAAACTTTGAAGAATTTAGTAAGAGAAATCCATTGCATGAGAGTACAAATTTTAGAGACTTCCTTTCTAAACCTACCTGCTCTAGTATTAAAAACGCCAAGTTCTCTTGCATGAGAAAAAGAAAAAAAATCAGTGTTTTATCTGCAAAGAAAAAAAAATCTGAAACAAACTAAGAATTTTTCCCACATGATTTTGGGTCTCCTTGTCATCATTTTCTTCATAACACCCTAGAATTAATGACCCTACAATTAATTCTTGAAATTAAAGAGCATCAAGGAAAACTGATGTAGTGATGTAAGTCTTAACTCATTTTAATAGAATGATGAATATTCTCTATTAGCTGAGATAGGCATTATTTTCCTACTTCTTTTCTAGGACGACAACTTTGAATATTTTAAGATAACTTGCTAATATTAAAATAGTTAATATGAAGCACAATAGAATTCTTGTGACTTACAGTATTACCTGAGAAAAAAATCACACATATAGTTTACTCATTAATTTTTCTTCAGTGCACAGTAAAAATGTTCCTAGACCTGAATCAAAATACCACTTATTAGCACTACATGAAGGTTCTTAAAAATGATCAATTCGAAAACGGTCATTTTTTTTGTGCCCTGGAACAGTATGGGAAGCATTCCAAGTTAAAATACCCTAAGTCAGGACTTGTGTTCTCTACTGAATATTTGACACAGAGGGAAGAAATTATGTAGGAAAAGAAAATTGCTATTTATCAATTACAAGTAGGTCTTCCATTCAAGCTATGTAAAAACATTTATGGAAATTTAGCCATCAGTAGATAAAGATGAATTTCTTTTTTCAAATAAATATAGTATGTAACAGTTCCCACTCAGTGAATATATACTTTTTTATTACACTTCCCCCCTTTTAACTGCAATTGGGAAGCAGGCAAGAGTCCCTAATGACAATACTCTTTAGCCAAGTCTCTCTTAGTACATGGTTCATCTTCTCTGGGAACCACAGTAAGCTATTCTGATCCACCTTTCCCTACTCTGGATGGCATCATCTTCATCATATTCTACAACTCTTTTCTCTTAATGGCATCATGTATCATCTTCCTTACTTATTTCTGATACATATTTTACTCACTTCTCACTGAATAGAAAAGTCATTTAAAAATAATGTTGGTCTAAATGCTAATTTCACAATTATGTAAGATCATTCAGATTTTGAGAATGGTTTAAGGTTCAAATTTCTGTAAATAATGCTAACTAAAGCCATAAAGCATCCACTAAAAGCATTATCATATTTTGTAGTTTTAACAAGATTAAAAGTGCATTTTACATCAACAAAATTGGCAAGGTAATTTTATAATTAACTAGATTGTTCCTGAAAATTGTAGTTTTTTTAACTGCTTAGAAATTTTAATTGTGTGTTTTTATTTTCATCCTTGAACTGCATTAATAGAGTATGTTTAACACATTTTAAAAATTTTGTATTGCAGTGCACATAACAGTTATAGAAAATGAATATAATAAAGAAAATACCCAGAAAGAAAAAAATGCAAGATAGACATGAGTCATATCTCAGATATATTTCTCCCTACATAGTTAGTATCTCTATCACCTTTTTTACATGCACATACACAAAAAACAATGTAAATCAAAAAAGTTAGCATTGTAAATAGTATGATAAATAGTAAATTAAACTTAAGTAAAACAGTAACCTTTTTTTAATTATAAAGCAGGGTCCAAAAATACTATGCATACCTCTCTCTGGATGCAGAATAATTTATCATTTTTCCTTTCACTAAATAGTTCTAATAAAATTTAATTGAAGAAAGGTTTCTATTTACAAGGAAAGTATTAAAATCGCATTCAAATACTAAACTTTTTTTAAATGTCATAGATTTTGCTCAAGCATGTGTAAATTTATTAAGGAAGAATTTCCTGTGTGTGTGTGTGTGTGTGTGTGCAGTTGTCATTCTACTTTAAGAATGAGTATTTATAAGAAAAGGAAGAGGTAAGAAGGGGAGGGAGAAGAAAGAATGAGAGAGAGAGAGAAGAGGTGGGGGAGAGATAGGGAAGACAGGTTTCACTTCTACAATTGTTTAAATGGGAGTCTTTCTGAGTTGGCAACAAATGAACTAGACAGTCCTCATCTGAAGTCTCTTATTACCCCCTAAGTTTATATATTAGTAAAGTGCTTGGTAGTCGAAATTAATTTTTTTTTCTACTCTTACAACTTACAGTTGCTTATTTCATTGAAGGAGCAGTTAGCCTTTGTGTCTTAAGACCATCAATCTTCCTTAAGAAAATCTGATCTATTAAACCAGACTTGTAAACCTCAGATATGAATCAGGTAGGGATTTCCATACGAACAAGGTTCTTTTAAATTGCTAGAACACTGCTCAAAGGAAATAAAGGTCAACAAAATGTTCCCTTGTAAGTTCTGTAGCATCATCTTACTGTGACACTGAATTTGTCTACAAGTTGTCAGTGTACTTCGACTATTCATAATAATTTGGGTTTTTACAACAGATATGACAATGGAGTTAGTCTTAGTTCATAGATCCAAAGATCTTAGTGTTCACAGTTGCGTTAGTGAGAAAATCTAACTCTGCAGAAGTTATCAGCAAATAATCAACTGTAGTGTGATGTTTTACAACAAAATCTTTTGCTTCCTTTCACCTGGTGATAGTGATTCCTGGTTTGTGTGCTAACCACATCTGTCAAATGTGAACTTTCCTAACAGATATTACCAGACTGGAAATGCAATAAACACTAGAATAATAATTCAAAGGTCTTTAAAAAGTCATATAATATTGAAAATAGTTTCCTTCCACTTTTCAATTCAGGCACATTGAGTACAATTTGGTTATGATATGTAAAGGGTCATTTGTTCTATGATGTACTTCTAAGCTCTGATATTAAGGAAGTACACTTAAACCAGAGAAGTTAACCATACTCATTTAAGGAATCCTCTCTTTTGAGGGAATGGGATCCTTCCAACTTTTTCCTGGGGTTGGGGGATGGGGGAACTGCTGAAAACATCTTCTCTAGAAAACCTGCCAACTTCTATCCCATCCCCCAACCTGCCCGAGCTCCAGTGTTTCCTGCTCCAAATTGTCCTCTGCTCATGACCCAGAAAGGAAGATCCCAGGAAAGTGACATATTTAGTGTATATTTTTTTAAAGAATAGAAAAACAAGACTCATTTACTTTCCTGTTTTATTTATGTGGGAGCTTTGTGCAGCATGCATGATCACACACATTATCTCTCTCTCTCTCTCTCTCTCTCTCTCTCTCTCTC